CCTCCTTCCCTCGTCGTCGCGTGTAGAGCGCATGTTCTGCCGCGCAGCGCGTGAACCCAAGCGCACCCAGGGTGGCATCGAGCTTGGCGTTTCACGCTCGTGGGGCTTGTCGCAGCCCATAGAGTGCCTTTTGCAGCCGCCCTTGTGCTCCTCTCCCTTGACGGCGAAGCCCAGGGCCTGCTTGACGAAGACAGTCTCCGCTAGCTCGCTGTTGACGAAGGCCGATTTCACGTCCAGGTAATGAATGCGCCAGTCCTTCGCTGTCGCCATGGCCAGCAACAGTAGACGAACTGACTCCATGCGCGGCACTGGTGCAAAAAATTCCTCAAAGTCGATGCCCTCACGTTGGACGCAACCGCGAGCAACGAGGCGCTCCTTGTGCTTGACTATGGCGCCACACTCGTCCCGCTTGACCTTGTAGACCGATTTGAGCCCGATTAGATGACAGCCTGGAGGTGAATCGACGAGCTCCCACGTCTCATTTTCCTCGATCGCTTTTTCATCTCCTCTAGCATAGCTCGTCTCCAACCGACATCGTGCTCGGCCTGCGCGAAAGTCGATGGCTCCTTTGCGCTGACGAAGAGCAACCCCTGATTGTCGAGTAATCGGCTTGTCAAGCCTGGTACAGCCGAGTGCCAACAAGGTTGTCCATCCTGCGAAACCTCACCTCATTACAATCGTGAAAAGCATTCACATACTCGTCGATGTCGCTTGGAGGAGAGGTGAACTCAACTGGAGGTGTCCCATGTCCTGCCGCAGTTGGAGGTGTTCCATGTCATACCACAGCAAGGGACTATGGTGGGGGCGTGTGCGCAGCCGCTGGTGGAGACTCTTCGTCTGTGCCCGCCATGGCAGGACTTTGCAGCTTAACCGACGCAGCCACAGCTGATGGACTTGGCGCGTCCGCAGCTGGATCCTCTGCTCCCGCGTCTCCTCCTTCGTGGATCACCAAATGATCAATGACGAACGTACCGCCGACACCACGGGCTTCCCCCCGTGCCAGGATTCTCCCAATCCCAGGTCGCCATTTAGTCGAACACCAAATCCCGCGAGACCACCACCTTTCCTCTATGCGGATCGTAGAGCCGATAGGCCTTGCTCCCCTCCTCGTAGCCTAGGAAGGCCATCGGTGTGCTCCTATCCTCAAGCTTGGACAGGAAGGGCATCGTCTTCTTCACATGGCCAATGCACCAAAACGTCCTTAGAAACGAGATGTCAGGCTGCCTGCCATGCCAAGTTTCGAATGGTGTCATGCCCTTTAGGGACTTCGTGGGCGCACGGTTGAGGATGAACACCACCGTGCTCACAGTCTCTCCCAGGACTCCACCGGCATGCCCTTATCTTTCATCATACTTCGGGCCATGCCCACCACGGTCTAATTCTGCCGCTCCACTGTGTCGTTCT